GATGGATGGATGACTAAGGTGACATCTCTGTGTTCCAATCCTCATTCTTCTTCTTCTCCTCAGAATGTTCCCATCACCAGGCCTGCATCACCACCACTCTGCAGATCCAACCTGGGGTTGTGAGATGTATGTTCTATGCTGACACCCAGAGCTGCACACACAGTCTTCAGGGCCAGAGCTGCCGACTGTTGCTCCGTGAGGAGGCCACCCTCATCTACCGGAAGCTGGGTAAGCCTTGAGCCGTTGTGGCCATTCCTGAGAGCCTGGATTTGGCTGGAAGAGACTATTCAAGCACCTGATGACTTGATAGGCAGTGGCTCTTGACATATTTGAGGGTAAGTTGGCCAAAGTTATCCTGGGCTAGGTGGCAGTCATAGACTCAAGGAAGGTAAGAAAACTAACTACTTCTAACATAGTTTCTTGGTGTAATTTTTATTCATTTATTCCTTTGAATTATAAAAGCCATTTTGTTCTTTGAGTTTCTGAGTAAAATAATCAAACAGGCCACTTTTTGTTACCCTTCTGTGTTCTACAAAGTTCTTTTTCATTTTTTATTTCATTTGGTCCTCACACTAATCCTGTGAGTTGGCAGGGTAGGGGTTTTTTTCCCAGCTTATACATCAGGAGATGGGCTGAGAAGTTAAGTTACTTCTCTGATCTTATACAACCAGTGATAACAGAACTGGGACTTGCGGCCAGGTCTATCTGTGTGGCCCTTGCCCACAAAACAATGTTGCCTAGATACTGCATTATGAACAATTAGAAGAGGGAAACTTTTCCTGGCTCAGTTTAGTTAAAAAGCATTCAGTGAGTTGTTGTTGTGTGTTGACATTGTGTTAGGGGCTGGGAACACAGAGAAGAAGGCGTGGAGAGAGCAAAGTGTAAATTCATCACCAAGTTTAATTGGTTAGAGCTGTGAACCTGGAAGCTTGGGCTCATGGGAAATACCTCCTCCATTGAACATATTTATTGGGTGAAATTAATGACTGTTAAGGTGTTGGCTCCATCTACCGTCTTGTCCTCTCAAGCAGGGATTGGCCAACTATCTCTGTAAAGGATCAAAACCAAACTACACTCATTGCCACTGAGTTGATTCCAATTCATAGCAACCCTCATTGGGTTTCCAAACCTGTCAGTCTTTACAGAAGCAGACTGCCTCATCTTTCTTCCACAAAGCAGCTGATAGTTTTGAACCACAAACCTTTTGGTTAGCAGGCAAATGTTTTAACCACTGTACTACCAGAGATCCTTCTGTAAAGGACAAGATACTAAATAGTTTAGGTTCTACAGCCTAACAGGCCCATGTCTGTTACAGCTACTCAACTCTAGCATTGTAGCATGAAAGTACAGTATGTGAACCCTAGTTATGTCTGTGTTCTAATAAAACTCTATTTACAAAACCAGATTGTGGGTTAGATTTTGCCTAGAGCATTGACAGTCCTTCAGCCCTGTCTTAATGCTAGTGATAACCTCTTCTTCTGCCCCTTTCTCCACATCAGCCTGTTTCCCAGGCCTGAGAAAGCTGAGATCTTGGACTTGACTCTCCAGGTGTATTTCATACTGGACGGTTAGGTTATTTAGTCCAGCGATAGTTCAGTAGTACACTTCACCAGTCAGGGCAGTCTTGTTAGCAATGCTTGAACTTTGAGGTTTGAGTTCTGTTAAACAAATCAGACCACTTCTCTAGTACTTCTGTGTGACTAGAATTCCATGTGAAATCCTCACTTGGAGCAGAAGGTACACATACCTCTGCCTGGAAGTTATTTGTTTGCTGCTAATGCAAAAATCCAGCTACTTTTCTTAACCCTGGTACATGGCCTCAATACAGCCACATCCTGGGAGGAATCCACCATTTCTGCAGTAGAGTTCAAAGGGATGACTGAGTGCTGGACAGTCCCCATATTCCATCTCATTTGGTCCAGGATTCACCAGGAGGCCTCTGAAAGGGAAGGGTGGATGCTGTCGACGGGAAAGCGGGTGTGCATTCCCTCGAAATTCTTTAGCTTTTATGATTTCCTGTCTTCGCCCTCTGCTTCAGAGGAGCCATGTTCATGAAATGTGGCTGTTTCCTGCTACTAAAGAACCAGCCTCAGAAGGTTCTGTCCCGTTAGCACCCACAGTCCTGAGGGCTCGCCTGGGCCCCTTTGATTCGTGATTGAAACAGGAAATCTTGTGAGAAGGAACCATGGGGTGAGATCAGGCATGATTGTGACTGCAACAGATTAAGAACCAACAACTTTCTTTACATTCTGAGTTTCCATCTTCCGTTCTAACTCATGACCAATGCGTTGGGCAGACAAGAGGTTTTTATTCTTTCTTCTCGTCTTCCTTTCCTTCCCCCTCCCTCTCTCTGTCTTTCCCTCTCTCCTTCCATTTATCCCTCTCTCCATCCCTCCCTCTGGCCCATTCTTTCGTTAGTGATTCTCTGTTGCTCATCCTCCCGCACTGGGCTTGCTGCAGTGAGTGAACACCTGTGACCCCTTCCTCTTGGGGAAACACAGATGATAAATCCACATTATCGCAGAATTGCATTCTCTGAATAATCATGGCTTAACACAATGCTTGTTTACTTGGTAACCAGGCTGAGCTCAGTAAGACTTTGGCCTGGGAAAGGAGGGGAGGCCATGCATATTGGCGGCTGCTTACTATTCACGAGACACTGTGCTTGGAATGTAACATCATTTTATTTATTCCTGACCTTCTAGCATTGTAGGGCTGGCTACTATTTCCATTTGGGAGAAGGGAAAGTTGTGGTTCAAAAATATTACCAAGTTTTCTCAAAACGTAGCTCGTCCAAAAGACAAAACAGACTGTTGGTCCTTCTTCACCGTGCTGACCCTCAGTGGGCCTGGAAGTCATGAAAGACGTGATACCAGAATTCCTCACTGGGACACTGGTGATGTCTAGGGCCACTGTCTCCTGCAGCGTAGGCTGCTTAGCAGCTTCCCTGGCCCCTCCCCACTAGATGCCAGCAGCAGCACCTCCATCTCCTGTCCCATTAGGACACCGCGAATGTGTGCAGACATCGCCACCTGTCACCTGGGGACAAAATCACCCCCAGCTGTGATCCATCAAATGACCCCAAATTCTTGAGGAGTGAGTGCACTGCTGCCTGTCTGCAGTCTCTTCTCCATCCTCTGTTTAATTTTCACGAGAATATACTCAGGATGGAAGCAAAGAAAGCAGCAGGGTTTGCCTCTCCATCAGCCAAGCACGGAGCTGGGCAGCCCAGGCCCAGTTAGAAGTCATGGGCACATGCACTCAGCATCTCTCCACAAGGGTTTGTTTTTCCCTTTGTGCCAGGCCCTAAGCCCTGTGCGAATCACATACAGGCCTGCTCAAGTCCTTGAAAACAGTGCCTGGCACAGAGCCCAGGGCCCAACAAAAGTTTACTGACTAAATGAATGAATGGAAGAAATTGTAGCAGAGGAGATAAGATGGGGCTGCGGAGAAGCTGATAACCATGCTGGAGATTAGCGTCACAAGGAGGGCAAAGGTGGGAGGGGTTTGAGAGCAGAGCAGAGATGGCAGGCAGCACCCTGGCTGAGAGACCAGGTGGGATGTGGACAGGATCAGGGAGCAGAGAGGACCTTGCAGGCCCGGGCGCCAGGGCAGCAGAGACCCTGTGTGAACGAGGGTGTGGTCAGAGGGGCAGCAGCTGTCTGGTGAGAAAGGTGCAGGGCTGAGTGGCATGTTTCACCTGTGGTCTTGGCCGTGTCCCCACCAAGGCCCCAAACCTCATCTGAGAGATGCAGTAGCGTTCCACCATCCCTTTCCTGCAACTTTGAAATCCATAACGCTCTGAAAACCGAGTGGTTTTTGCAGGTTTGCAGCAAACACATTTGGTAATAAAGTCTGAGGAAACAGTAGTCCTTTATCATGCTTCTCGCCCCAGAAAGAAGGGAGTAGTTGATGGTGGGTCTCTGTTCCAGTCTGCCCTGGAAGGACTGCGTGTCACACATTGTGTGCTCACTACGTTCTTTTTAAAACCCAAATAATTCTGACTGTGAAGCTTGTCTGGTCCCAGGTGCTGGACAAGGGATTGTGGGCCCAGGTTGGTGTCTGCCTCGCAGGCCTGATGGGATAATGGGGGCTGAAGGGATTAGCCTTGGGCTTTGCACATGCTCAGTGCCTAATAAAGGGTGGCTGTCTTCACGATTTTTATTATTTTTTTTCACATTGAAAACATACTTGACTAGACTTAAGCTATGGGGGCCTGAATGAATTACTAACATTTTCAAAGTGCAAAAGTCAGTGATTGTGTGTGTGTACTTGTGTGTGTGTATGTGAGAGTGTGTATGTGTATGTGAGTGTGTATATGTGACTGTGTGTGGATGTGAGAATGTGAGTGTGTATGTGTGCATGTGAGAGTGTGTTTGTGAGTGGGTTTATGTGAGAGTGTATGTATCTGAGTACACATGTATGTGCTTTAAGCATATTCAGAATACCTGGGACTAGACCCCCCATTGCTACCTCTCTTCCATGTCCACTTTCATTTCCCCTCTTGACAGGCATCCCTCTGTTCAGCATTGAGGTGTCTGCACCTTCTGTGACCATTGCCGCCCACGGCCAGCTGCTGGGAAGGTCTCAGGCCATCCAGGTGGGCACTGCATGGAAACAGGTCAACCAGTTCCTTGGAGTCCCGTATGCTGCCCCGCCCCTCTCAGAGAGACGCTTCCAGGCCCCGGAGCCCTTGAACTGGACTGGTTCCTGGGATGCCACCAAGCCACGGTAAGGGTTCAGTTGGGTGCATTTTGTGAGTGTCTAGAGAAGCTCTCTCCCTTTCCATATGAGACTCGGGAGCAGAGCAGTGCATTCTGGGTGGACTGGTATATGAGGAGAGAAGGGGAGGGTCCGGAAGAAGGAGTTTATTGGGTGAGACAGCACCAAGTATCCTAACAGACCAATTCTCAAACATCAGTGACTTACCACAGTCTTGCTTATGGAAACCCATATGGTTACAGAGGGGCCTGTGTGCCCTGTCTGTGCAGTGACTCAGGGACCCAGGCTGAGGTTCATGGAGGCTATCCTTTCTCCAGCACCAGCCTTCCAAGGTCCCCTGGATATTGCATCCAGGAAGGATGTGGAAGAGTCTACACAGGTGGTTTCCTTGGGCCGAGCCTGGAGGTGGGGTACATATGTCACTTATATACTTCAGTTGCATCCACATTGCAATGGTCAGGGCCTAGCCTCCTGGCCATGTCTGATTTCACTGGCCCAGAAGATATGGCATAGAAGGAAAAGCAGATGAGCTCATGATAGAACATTTTCAAAGTACTCTTACTAATTTATTTTTTCAATAAACCCATTGCTGTCAACTTGATTCCAATGTGACCATAAATTACAGAAAGTTACCATGTGGAGATGTACCCATGAGACACATGACAGGATTGAGTCACACAGGTCTTCGGTGGTGGTGACTGGAGAGCTTGATTCACTGGATTCCAGTGCTAATGAGGCTTGGTGCATTGTGGGCTGGTTGCTGTGTCTTAGGCATGGTCCCAGCTCTTCTGCTGGAGCTGGCAAACCAAGCCTCTGGTGGTGTCCAAAGCAGGTCAGAAGCTCATCCAGTGAAAGGTGTGTACACTTGAAGCAAGGAAGGAAGTCGTGCAAGGGCCAAGGTCCTGTGTAGCATCATTGTCCCCTCCTCTTTCTTGAGCCATTGAGTCAGTCAGCCCCCTTGTCCTGGGTTGGCCTGCTGGCTGAGAGAGTGACAGGCACCCTGCTGTCCTTCCATTCGCTCTCTATTCCCATCTCTCCCTCCCGAAGCTTCCTTGTTGCTGAAGAGCATGGTGCTGTGTCTCACCTTGGTAGGACACCAGGCCTTGGGTGGGACAGGGGCTTTGCCTTGGTGGTGGGTGGGGAGTGTCCCATTGGGCTGTTGCTCCTGGAAATCATATGGCCTGTTCCTGCAGGGCCAGCTGCTGGCAGCCAGGAGCCAGAACACCTGCATCCCCTGGAGTCAGCGAAGACTGCTTGTATCTCAACGTGTTTGTCCCTGAAAGCATGGTGAGTACTGAGGCCCAGGCGAGGTTGCTCTGAAAACATCCCCATGGGGGAATCTGCTTCCTACAGCTCTCAGCATGGGCCCCCCATCAACTCGGGGCCACTCGGGCCCTGCTGCCCAGCACTGGGCATCTGGCTCTCAGCTTCCTGAAGGCCCGAATGGCTGAGTGCACAGAACATTTCGCTGGTTCCTACATGGCCTCATCATGTCCTCACCACCTTACCACACACCATGTGGCTGGTTTTGGTCTCCTAACACAGATCTTCAAAGGGCCTACTGTGTACCAGGCACTGTTCTAGGTGCTGGAACACAGCTATGAACAGAACAAAGTCGCCGCCCCCATGGGCTTACATACATGCTTATCTAATAATCCTATGTAAGGATTCTTAGCTTTGATAGCTGCCACGAGGAAGAATTAAACAGGGTGAGGAGTGAAAGCTGCCACGAGGGGCTCTGTCAGGTGGGTGGTCAGGAGGTGACATTTGAGCAGTGGTGTGGCAGGTGTAAGCCCTGCAGATAGGTGAGGACATGCCCTATGGTGGGAGCCTTGGAAAGGGGTCGGCCTTATGCAGGGGGATGGTGGACCTGGGATTCAAACTGAGTCTGCATACAAAGAAAACCCACAGTCATCTTCAGATGGCCCCCGCCACCAGGAGTATTCATGTCGAAAGTTCTGTGTGCGCTCATTTGAGGCACTTCTGGAGGTGAGGTTTGGGGCTGGACAGACTGGAGACTTGAGCCTGTCTCCTGATGCCAAATGCCTTAGAATGGCTCCTCCCAGTGGAAGAGAGCTTGGCAGTTCTGCTTTGGCTGTTCCATGGCATCGTCCTAGCCTTGGGGAGGGGCATTAACACCATAACCTGAGGAGGGGCAGCAATGCTGGGCCCCCCAGTGGTAGGCCCTGTGGAGGAGGGGCCTCTGATAATGGACACAGAATGCAAAAGCTGACTGTCAATCACCTCCACGTCCTACCCTTACTTCATCTGAACAAACACCTGCTCTTTTGTTGAAGTGTTACTCAATACAAATAGCTGAGGCACTCTTAGGAAGAGGAGCTCTGGTGTTGTAGTGGTTAAGTCATTTGACTTCTAATTGAAAGGTTGGCAGTTCAAATCCACCAGTCTCTCCATGAGAGAAAGATGAGGCAGTTTGCTTCCATAAAGATTACAGCCTTGGAAACCCTATGGGGCAGTTGTACTCTGTCATGTAGGGGGCACTATGAGTCAGCGTCGATTCAATAGCAGTGGGTTTGGTTTTTTAGGAAGGGCAGTAGGGCCATTTCCCTGACCACTCTGGCAGCCCCTGAGCACATGAAACCAGGCTACTGGAGATGGCCCTTTTCTACAGCATTTAATGGGCCTTCCGTTTGAACAATCAGTTCCACCAAGTAGTGGCATAAAAGAGATGGCAGGTCACAGAGGGAAAGGCCTGGGCAAGTGTGCTGGGAGGGGGTGTGGGTCAGAGTTTTGGGCTGGCCCTTTAGTCTCTGTAGGAATTTTAACCAGTCACTACCTCCTCTGAGCCTCTGCTTCCCCATCTGTGAAAATGGGGTGTTATACTCATTATAGCATCCACCTTGTGGGGCAGAACAGGTAAACACTTAGCTCAGCACCCACTGAAGTCGGCCCTCATCCGGGGCAGAAACTGGGAGAGAAGCATTCGTGTGTTGGAAACTCATTGTGCATGGAGTGGAGAAGTCAGGGCACAGGGTGTCTTGCATATACCATGGCCTAGAGTGGGCCTCAGATGATCCCGTTGTTGTTCAGTGCCCCAAGTTGCTTCCAACTCATCATGACCCTACGTACAACATAACTAAACACTGCCTGTGCCATGCCAGCCTCACATATGCTATGTTTGAGCCCACTGTGTCGGTCCACCCTGCCAGGAAGGGAGTGTGTCAGGGTTGTATCCTTTCCCCACACTTATTCAATCTGTATGCTGAGCAAATCATCCAAGAAGCTGGACTATACAAAGAAGAATGTGGCATCAGGATTGGAAGACTCATTTACAACCTGTGATATGAAAACGATACAACTTTGCTTGCTGAAGGTGGGCATGACTTGAAGCACTTACTGGTGAAGATTAAAGACTGTAATCTGCAGTATGGATTACATCTCAACATAAAGAAAATGAAAACCCTCAAAACTGGACCAATAAGCAGCAACACAATAAATGGAGAAAAATTGAAGTTGTTAAAGATTTCATATTACGTGGTTCCACAATCAACACCAATGGAAGCAGCAGTCAGGACATCAGATGACATATTGCACTGGGCAAATATGCTGCAAAAGACCTGCTTAAAGTGCTTAAGAGCAAAGATATCTCTCTGAAGACTAAGGTATGCCTAACCCAAGCCATGGTATTTTCAATTGCCTCATATGCATGTGAGACCTGGACAATGAATAAGGAGGACTGAAGAAGAGTTGATGCTTTTGAGTTGTGGTGTTGACAAAGAATACTGAAAAGTACCATGGACTTCTAGAAGAACTAACTGATCTGTCCTGGAAGAAGTGCAGCCAGAATGCTCCTTGGAAGTGAGAATGGCCAGACTTTGCTTCACCTGTGGGAAAGGCCCTCAACAAGATGGATTGACACAGTGGCTGCAACGATGGGCTCAGGTTTCCATAAAGATTACAGCTAGAAAACCTTATGGGGCAGTTCTACTCTGTCATGTGGTGTCACTGTTACTCGCAGTGGACTTGATGGTACCCAGTAACAACAACACACATTAGGACAGGTTTCAGTCCCACAGGGGCCAGTTGAAAGGAGTCATTGGGGCCCCAGAACACTCTTCATGAGTGAACTACAGACTAGAACCAGGATGCTTGGAGACCGCGTGGTGTCCTGAGATGGACTCAGGGTTCATACCCACTTACTCGCTTTGCCAGGGTGCAAAGGGTCTTCCCTCTTCTGACTCTCCGTTCTGTATCTGAATTTGGGTTGAGCAAACCTGTAGGGCAGAGGTAAGGGGAGGAGGATGGAGGCAAAGCATGAGGCTTGCAGCTGTGTCCAGCACCCACTATGCTTTTGTGGTTGAAAGTGGGCCTGCCTCTAACCCCAGACTTCTCCAACATCACAGGCCCCCAATGCCTCGGTGCTAGTCTTCTTCCACAACACCATGGAAGGCAAAGGGAGAGAGGGACAGCTGCCCATTGATGGCTCCTTCCTGGCTGCTGTTGGCAACCTCATCGTGGTCACTGCCAGCTACCGAGTGGGCATCTTTGGCTTCCTGAGTTCCGGTGAGTTCCCCTTGGTGGGATGGTGGACGCCCTGAGCCGAGGCTCACTCTCTGTGTGCATTCACTCCTTGCTTCCCAAAGCCCTGGCTCCTCCCTGCCCCTGCCTTCCTCCAGCCCAGCTGAGCACCTCAGAGTGTCTAGCACATTCATGAGCAGCTGCAGCAATGCTGACACCTGTAGATGACAGCAGCAGTTGACATTGATGGAGCCCTCACTGTGTGACTGAAGCTGTCCCCAAAACATGGCAGGTTTTATATAGAGATTTAAAAAAGGAAAGAGAGGCCCAAGGAGGTTAGAGATGGAGTAACTTGGTCAAGGTTATGTGGTTAGGAACTAGCAGAACCAGAATTCATCAGGATTGCCCTGGAGAACTTTAAGGACTGGATGATAGCTCTTCCGTTTATAGGAAATCATAATGTGATTCTCCCCCCCTCTTTCACTCTGGCACCACTTGTGAAGATCAGCCTGTCCCGTATCCAGCCCTAGACCTGTTTATAACCCTGCTCATGACCTCCACCATTTCCATCTATCCCTGGGCAGAGTGGAGCCTTGGACAGATTGAAACATCCTCTGTCCACGTGTGCTTCTCCATCTCTAGCTGCCCTCCAGGGTGAGAGGCAGCAGACAGCTGTGTTAGAGAGTGTGCACACTGAGCTCAGAATCTGAAGAGCTGATTGCCAGATTTACTGCTCATTGGCTACATGGTCTTAGACATAACTCTTCCTTTCTCTGAGTGTCAGTTTTCTCCTCCATAAAATGGGAATAATTTTACCCCACTTGTAGAGCTTCTGTGAGGCTCAAGGGAGGTAGGGGCTCTGAAAGGGTTTTAGAGCAGTAATGAGCTACACAAGGCTTGGACAGGAATTGCACTTCCTCTCTGTTTAAAGAGCATCTCACTTAAAACCTGCAGTGTCTTATGTGCTAAGTACAGACAGGTGGGTGGGAGAGAGAGTGGCTGGAATGAAGGATTGGACTAGAATGTGGTTGAGAGGGGGGACATTACGTATGAGAAGAAGATCAGGAGTAGGGATATGCAGGGGGCTTTGGGAATGAGGGTTGAACAGGCATGGGGCATGAGGCCAGGGGTGCCAAGAGGAACACATCAGTGCAGACAGCAGACGTGAGATGGACAACAACGAACCAACCAAACACTGCCGTCAAGTCAGATGTGACTCATAGTGACCCCTCCTTGGGTTTCTGAGGCAGTATCACTACGGAAGTAGATTGCCCAACCTTCCTTCTGAGGAGTGGCTGGTGGACTTGAACTGCCAGCCTTCTGGTTAGCAGTCAAATGCCTTAGGCACTATGCTGCTAGAGCTCCCAGATGGACAACAAGTGAGGACAAAATGTGACAGATGCTAATGTGAGGCACACGATGATGAGTAAATTTCAGACTTTCTTCAGAGGGAACGGGGTCAGCTACTCACGGCTGAGACAGGGAACCCATGGCACAGCTTCCCCTTTCTGGTCACACTGTGGCCCTGGCTTCCTTGGGGACCTCTCTAAATCTTTTTTTTTTTTTTTCCCTGGTACAAGGAGGGAAATAATCCCGGCCTCCTTCATATATGTGGTGATGAGAAGAAATATGGAACCTGGGAGGTTGTGAAAGCTTTTGGGGAGTAGAAGGAATGACTCACACATCAATACATGTCCTTCTCTAAGGGGTAGCTCTTTGCCTGGGATTTCACTCTTCTTTCAAACACGAGAGCAATTACAATTTGTTAAGGCAGCCACCATTTCTCTGACAGACATGGGGACTTGGGGCCCATTCTGTTGGATTGTGGGCAAGCAGAACTCTCCCAGCACAGATGACTTAGTGGACTAGAATATTTCTAGACAGAAGAGAGTGAGTTTCCACTTGTCATCCATCCCTGAGGAGCAAGGGATAACAGTGTCACGACTGTGGTCTATGGAGGGTTCATGTGCTTCTGGAGGGGTGCTGCTTCTGGCTGCCTGGGGTGGCCTGAAGAGCAGGAGGGACGCTTCCAGCCCACCTAACTCTCCCACTCCCCCTGCACCCATGCTGCTTCTGCAGCTGGGGCTCAGAGGAGAGACTCTTGTGAAGGACAAACACGTGCAGCCAGGCCTTTCCTTCACCAGACACTGTGCCTGAGAGAGCAACCTGCGTTCTCACAGCAGCTCTGTGATGCCAGTCCACAGGCATAGCACCTCGACTCTGGAAGGCTAGGAAACTCTCACTGTGCTCACTAGTGGCATAAATCAAAAACAAATTCCCCACTGTGGAATCTATTCTGACTCACAGTGTCCTACAGGACAGAGTAGATCTGTACTGTAGGGTTTTCAAGGCTGTCAATCTTTATGGAAGCAGACTGTCTCATCATTCTCCCTTGGGGCAGCTGGTGGGTTTGAACCTCCAACCTTTTGGACAGTTACCAAGAGCTTAACCACTGTTCCACCAGGGCTTCTTGCTTGATTTACTAGACCTTGTCAGGAAAAAAGAAAAAAGAGAAAGAAATCCAGATTTCACAGAATTTAAACCAAACCAAACCCACTGCCATCGAGTGAATTCTGACTCATAGCAACCCCCTTTAGGTTTCTGAGGCAGTAAATCTTTACGGAAGTAGATTGCCCAGTCTTCCTTCTGTGCAGTGGCTGCTGGGTTTGAACCACCAACCTTCTGATTAGCAGTCAAATTCCTTGGCACTGTGCCATTCAGAAAGGAAAGGGAGACAGAAAGGGACTATTGCAATGATGTCACCTGGAGTCCTATCTGCACAGGCTTGCATGCCAGCAGATAGCATTCCACAGGCAGCCCCCCACAGGTGGGCACTTTCCTCACCTCACGTGCTGCCCACCTGCCTCACGATGTGGGTGTGGCTTATGTACGTGAAATACAATGCATGGAAAACAAACACCTGGAGCTATGCCTGGCACCTAGCAGGGCTCACAAGTGGATGGCCCTTGTCTGTCCCTAGACAGGGACAATGTCAGGGCAGTGCTGTATTTAAGTCATGTCTTGTCTAGGCCTTGGCCAGTACCTGGCACGAAGCTGACATGAACAGCTCTCATCCATTTCCCAAGTCAGGGCCTGTGCTGGGAGCCCCTCTCTGTGTGTCACCAGTTTGATAAATGCTGGTGACATCTGCCATTACATTTCGGAGTGAAATGGTCCCTGAGGGCCGGGAGTCCTCCAGTCTCCACAGGTGCACTTCTGAAAGAGTGGGGGGCAGATGGAGAAGGCATGTGCCCATCCTGTGGCTGAGCAGGCAAATGCATGGCCTCTGCTGTTCCTGATTCATTTCAAGAGAAGCTGGAAGGAAGTGGGTTGGGGTGGGTGATAGAAACATGTCTGCATGTCTGCAGCCCTGGTTCATGAGAGAGACATTGGGTGCATGGTGACTGTCCGCCCCTCTTGGGAAGAGCAGAGGAGTGCTGCGGGAGCAAGGGGAGTGGGCAGAAGGTCCTGCGGCCCCTGCAGGGCATGGGGGAAGACAAAGTGTGTTTGGCCAGGCTGCTCATGGGAACCACATGTATGCCGTAATTACCTCATGGTCTCTGGTCTCGGAGTGTCCTGACAGGGTCTATGACAAGAATGGGCCCAGAATTCTGCCTAGCAGATTCTCCATCACAGATGAAGTTTCCACTAGCATCTGTGAGCTCATGCTTGGACCTATTATTATTATTTTTTAACTTAATAAATGTTAATGCCACTTATCCGTCAGTTTGTCATACTGTGGTGGCTTGCACGTTGCTGTGAGGCTGGAGGCTATGCTGCTGGTGTTTTGAATACCAGCAGGGTCACCCATGGTGAACAGGTTTCAGCAGAGCTTCCAGACTGAGACAGACTGGAAAGAAGGACAGGGCCATCCACTTGAAAGAAGTGGCCCCTGAAAACCTTACGAATAGCAGGGAGACACTGTTTGACATATTACTGGAAAAGATGGTGCAGGACCAGGCAGTGTTGCATTGTGTTGTATACAGGGTTGCTATGAGTCAGAATAGACTTGACAACACCCAACAACAACAACAAAGCCAGTATTTTATACCAGGAACTGGTCTATTTCCTTTACAGATATTGACTAATGAACCTTCATAATAACACAGTGAGGTAGGGACTGGTACTGCCCTCATTTTGTTGTTGTAGTGAGTTGCCACTGGGTTAGCTCTGACTCATGTTGACTCCACATATGACAGAACAGACCATTGTCCAATCCTGCGCCATCTTCCCTGTGGTCAGTTGCTTGAGTCCACTGTTGTGACCATGATGTGTTCTGAGCACCTTCCCACTTAGAGGCTCATCTTCCGGCACTCTGTCAGGAGTACTTTGTTGGGATCTACGTGTTTCATTGGCTGATTTCCAGAAGTAGATTTCCAGGCCTTTCTTCCTACTCTGTCTCAGTCTGGAAGCTCCTCTGAAGCCTGTCCACCATAGGTGACCCTACTTTTATTTAAAATACCAGTATGTGTGTCTTCCAGCCACCACAGTATGACAAGCTGGCAGATGGGAGGTTGAAGGAGCTAACGAACTTGAAATGCTGCTGGCTGGGGGTCAGGAGTCTGGATAAACTCTCGGTGACTGTGTTAGCTGCATGGAGAAATGTGAGGTGTCTGGGCTGAGGGCAGATGTCCACGAGACATCAGCATGTAGGTAGTAGTTGAAGCCATGGACCCTGATGACATTTCCCTGTCCAGTCGAAAAAGAAGTGGGCCTCACTTCACACCAAAATGAGGTCTGCATTTCAGGGTTTGACAAGGGGACAAGTCAGGGGACTAGATTGATGAGGAGGATCCACTGAGCTTGAAGGATGAAGATGTGTTGTGTCCCAACCAGCTAAGAGAAGAGTATGTTTCTACTGTTTTGAGTCAGAATCATTTCATTAAACAAACAAACAAAACAAAACTACATAACACTGGCTCTCAACAAATACTTATTGAATTATATGAAAGAAAGAAAGTGAGATTAACCCAGTTAAATGCCACTGGGAGATCATAGATGAAGTGGGAAGAATGGGATCAAGAGCTGAGCAAGGCCTGCTCAGAAGGAAGGAAGCATGTGGGGTTGGAGATGTAGGCTGGGTTGTTTTTCACCTGCCCACTGGTTGTGTCAAACAAGGGGTGGTACTGAGCATGCATTACTTGTAATGCGAACACTTACCCTGGCCCAGACAATGCCCTCATTCGCCAGTGGGATAGCCACGACTCAGGAGGTTCAGTGTATGTCCAAGATCTCCTGGCCAGCAAAGACTAAAGTAGAATTCAAGCTGAGGTGTGTGTGATTCTGAAATCCACGTTCTTCCCATTGTCCTCTACTGTATGTGGAAACAACGGTCCTGATCTGTGGGGACAAGAGCCTGAGTCCCCCCGTAGAACCCAGGCCTGGTGTGGACAAGACCGTGATTATGAAATCTGAGTTTGTAAAAGTCACTATAAAAGGCTTTCCTCTTCTTTGAAGGGTCCAGTGAGGTGAATGGAAACTGGGGACTGATGGACCAGGTAGCAGTGCTGACCTGGGTACAGACCCACATTGGAGGATTTGGTGGAGACCCTGGGCACGTGTCCCTGGCAGCTGACCGCAGTGGGGCTGACGTGGCCAGCATCCACCTTCTCACCACCAGGGCTGTGGACACCAGACTCTTCCGAAGGGCTGTGCTGATGGTGAGTCTCATGTTTTACCCTCAGTCCTCCTGCATGGCCCCCCAGCCTCTTGAGGTCATTGACTGGAATCTCTTGGTTTTCCATTGTCCTTTTTCCCGAGTACAGATTCAGCTTTGGTCAGTTTTCCATGTGTGCATGGTTCCAGGACACTGAAGGGCTCCCTGACTACTTCCCACTCATATCTAAAGTGACAATAATTCTGGATGGGGAAAGACCTCTTTTTCTGAGAGCACTTCATTCAAGTTTACTTGTTTTGAACTGTCACTCCTTTTTGATAGACAAAAAGAGGTGGGGGGAACATAGTGTGAGAAGCTTGCTGGTGGAGGAAAAGGTAATGAACAGTGAGGGTACCGTAAGATGCTGAGCTACTTGGGGCAGATCACCCAAACAGGAGAGGACTAGAACTTGCCCGTCTCCCAGTGTTGCTTCCTTGATGGTCTCCATGTTTGAACGTGTCTGGTTTCCTCAGTGGCCTGTGCTTTATCCCCTGTGAGATTCAGTTCTGTGGCATTTTCTTGGAGAACAATGTTGGGTGACTCTTTAACCTCACTGGTCCCTTCTGCCTTGTATTTGGTCCTTGACTATTGAGTGAAGACATCTATCTCCAAGCAAAGAATAGAACTCAGAACTCACCACTGGTTGTTCCATTGGATGGTCTCAGGTCCCTGTTAGGTGATTATACTGTTGACATAATGATGCTAATCATGATGACAGTGATTATGTTGAAAGAAATAACCCATTGATCTGAGCATAAGCCCTGAGTCCGTTGTTCTGACACTGATGGGGTCCGATTTTATTGAGCCAGTTTGTGCCACGTACTAAGCTAAATGCTGGACATGCCGTAATAAATAATAAATGTTCTGGTTCTCAGGAAGCTTGTAGCTTTGTGTGTGTGTGTGTGGGGGGGGGTTGAGGACCAAAAATTAAAACAGGTATTTAAAAGAGGGCCTTAAGGTGGGTCACAGAGATAGCCCCAGCCAAATGCAGGGGAAAGAGAGGGTATCAAGGAGCACTTCCCAGGAAGGGAATATCTGAGCTGAATCCTGAAGGCTGTGTGGGCTCTGCTGATAGGCCAAGGCCTAGCAATGCTATTCACAGGGATCTGCAAGTTGTGCAGTGTGGCTGGAAGGATCCCAGATGGGCAGTGGTGCCGGGGCTGGGGTGAGGAGAGGCACCAGGTCCCCCTGAAGAGCTTGGGTTTAATCCTGAGAGCACAAGAAACCACTGGGAGTTGGGGACAGGTGTAAGCATGTGGCGAACTTGCTGAGAGCAGCACTGCAGGAAGACTCATCTTAGAGCTGGGTGGAGGGTGAACTTAAGTGGGGCGAGAGAGCAGTTAGAATGTTTATGTGACACAATAAGGAACAATGGAGAGCCAATAGCATTGACACCATGGGCTGAATCCCTCTGGGACCAGCCATCCCCTTTCCAAGATCCTTCCTAGGATCCAAGGCTTGGCCATAGGGAGGGCAGGAGAAGTGTCACTGATTGGGCATAACTGATACAGACAAGCATTGAACCCATTCCTGACAGGAAGTGGTTCCACCTGCCACTCTCTCTCTCTCTCCTTTGGCTGCCGGAGCCTTCTGATATCCCTCAAAGAGTCCATGTTCTTTTCTGCCTCATAAGGCTGCTGCTTCTTCATGGAGCACTTTTCTCCCATCCTCCTCTTAACCTGCCCTCCTGCTTCAGGGAACCCTTCTAGACTTTTCTGCCGGTAATGGGCCCCTTTATATAGCCTACTCCAGCCTGCACTTCTCCGATAGAGCACCTACCATGACTTCTCATCAGTACACAATTATTACTAGTGCCAAGTCTGTCTCCCTTGTGAGACTGTGAGCTCCGGTAAAGCAGAGGTAAGAAGTGGCTTGTTCTCCACGGTCCAGATCGCTAAGTAGTAGATCCACATTCACACATGGATGCTGGGTAAGCATATGAGTGTGGAGTACTCAGAGCTTGTTCTAGGCCCGGAGGCTATCCTGTTCCTTCCTCCCACCCCGCTTCTGGTATCTCTTGGCCTTTGACTTAAGCTTTCGTGAAACTGCTCCGAAGCAGCTCCATTTTAGTGGCAAGGGGTCTTAGATAAACAGCCTTTAGTTCCTGGCATGGTAAACAGACAGTTTTAGTCCCTGTGTGCAGCCATAGTGAAATACCACAAAACAAATGACTTTAATGGATACTGATGCTCTCAAAATCCTCAAGGCCAGAAGTCTGGGCTTTGGCAGGACCATGTTCTCTGTCTGCTCTAGGGGAAGCACCTTCCATGTCTCTCCTGGCTTCTGTAGTCCTAGGCATTTCTTCATGTTCCTGTGGCTTATAGATGGATCCTGACATCCTGTCTTACCTTGTGTGTGACACCCTTCTCCTGTCTGTCCTCTTTGATAAAATGCCAGTCAGGAGGGATTAGCACCCTACGATATGATGTTGTTAACTGATAACATCTGAAAAAGAAAAAAAGTACAAAAAAAAAACCAAACAAACAAACCAACCCACAGCTATTCCCTCACACCAGGTCACCCTTGCTGATACAGGGGTTCAGGCTTTGGCACAGCTTCTCCGGTTACTCCATTCCATACATAACAGATTCCTGACTCCACGCTGATCCTGGGCATTCTTGGCAAGCAGACCCTTTTGAGGACCCAGAAGACTCCAAACCTACCTTCCAAGGGCTCAGCACTCAGAATTCTCCTGTGGAGGATTTAGGTGTTTGAGGGATTTAAAAAAAATTAATCTGTTTTAACAAATGGCAGTGTATTTAAAAATAAACCCTCCCGTCTGTTTAGCTCATTTAGAAGCAGCTTTGACAACTGCTCCCAGCCGTCTTTGGGATGCTTGAGAAGTTATTTGGAACAGAGAGAGCGATAAGACTTCAGTAGCTTAGCAGTTCTTCAGCATGTTCTTTACTCACAGATGTTTGGGGGAAAAGTGTGATGGTGATTTGTTCTCAAATTAAACCTAAGCCGTTTTGCATATCTTAAGGCCAGGACTGTTGAAACATCAGGCAAGAGAAAGTCTTATGATGGCAATTAATGACATGTTCCTTGAGCCCAAGGGAGCCCTGGTGATGCAGTAGATAAGCACTCAGCTGCTAACCAAAAGGTCAGTGGTTTGAACCCAGCAGCAGCCCCATGGAGAAAGATGTGGCAGTATGCTTCTGTAAAGATTTGTAGCCTTGGAAACCCATAGTGTCACTATGAATCAACTCCATGGTAGTGGGTAATCTTTATGGAAGCAGACTGCCACCTATTTCCCCACAGAGGTGATGTTGTTGTTGTTGTTTGCCGGTGGGTTCAAACCACCAGGCTTTGGCACAGCTTTTCTGGTTACTCTATTCCATACATAACAGATTCCTGACTCCATGCTGATCCCAGGCATTATCGGCAAGCAGACCCTTTCGAGGACCCAGAAGCCTCCAAACCTACCTTCCAAGGGCTCAGCCGCTGAGCAGTTAGCGCCCCCCAGGGATCCCTCTGTAGCACCTGGGGTCTTCTTGATCCTCTAGCTGTCCTGAGCATAGCGCCTGGTTCAGTGAGGACCCTGGTGCCTCGCTGGGTCCCTACCTAACTGGGAGGGAAGCGGTGGGCAGGGCACTGGTTCAGCTCTTTCTACGTTTGTCTGTCTCCTCCAGTAAGCACCCTCCCCCGTGCTCGCCTTAGTCAGATGTGACCAAGCTGTTCACTGATTTAGATGCTTCCATACACAGTTTAGAGAAAGTTTGTTGAGTTAAAACAATTTCCCCCCAATGTAAATTTGATTGCAGCTTCATGGAATTTATCAATTTATTTCAGAAAAATATCTCTGTTTTTATGCTGTTGGGCCTTGTATTCAGGTATCTCAAGTCACTGCCCCTGTGAGCATGGTGTTTTTTGCTTCCTTTAGGTACTTTTATAGTTTTGAACTTTTCTCCATAAAACGTTTGTGACATCTGTAGGACGCAGATGTCTATGGACGCCATAGTTTTGGTTAGCATAGTGAATGGAGCCTTATCTGCACTGTGTATCGCAGATGGTACATGCTGACGTGGTGAGTGGTGGTCCCTGGTAGAGTCCTTGCCCTCCATGTGGGGGACCTGGGTTTGCTTCCTGGTCAGTGCACCTCGTCTGCAGCCACCACCTTGCATCTTGCCGTGATGCTGACCAGGTTTCAGCAGAGCTTCTGGACCAAGACAGACGAGGAAGAAAGGCTTGGGAACCCACTGCCAACAAAGCCAGTCAGTGAACATGCAATGGATCACAGTGGTCAGAGCTACGCCTGATCACGGGGATGATGCAGAGCTGGTCAGCATGCCTTTCCATTGTGCACGGGCTGCCGTGAGTAGGGGACCAACATGATGACGGCTGCCAGTGGACACAGTTGAATGAGTTGACTCAAGACATTGATGAACTCTCGTTACTCCCATTACCTTGTTGATTCTTGCAGTTTTCTATGAAGCCACAAATAATAGTAGGTTTATTTCTGCACCAGTTGCAGTAAAAAGCTAAGCTGCGGTAACAAGGAGACCCAACACTAAAGCAGCTTAGAGACCAAATGAGTTGAATTTTTCTTCATTCTTTTATAACATTTCCAAGGTGAGCAGTCCAGGTGCTCCGTGGTCCTCCGGGTCTTGGCAGGGAGGGGCATGCTTCCTCTTGCATCCTCCCTAAAAGACTACTCCCCCACCATGATCCAGGAGTGCATAGTTATTTCTTGCATAGTACCTACCACTGTAGGACATCTCCTGTTTATTGCTATCAGCATCCATGCTACCAGATTCCTCATCTGTTCATCACGGCTATAGCCGCAGCTCCTATAGCAGTGTCTGGTATTTATTTGGTAGGTGACCGAAAAATACTCAAAGAAATTATTGGAATGAGTAGCACAGATAGGCTTCATGCATGATATGCAGAAGGATCGAGGTATTTTCCTAACAATGGCTAAGAGTTATTCTCTGCCTGATCCATCCCATGTGCCCACCTTCAAATCTGGTAGGTCACAAGTCAGGTCCTTCCTAAGGCTCCCCCTTAAGGGGAGGCTGCGGGACTATGCAGAGCAGGTCCTCTGGGCGCATCTTGCCCCCTCCCCCATACACGTTCATTGGAAAATTCAAAGCCCACAGGGTTTCTGCATAAACCGCCCACCCCCTCCCCAAGAAGCTCTCCCCCATTCCAAAGTTTCCATATTTATTAGGTTTGTTTTAATCAGGAATAAATACATGATTCAGTGAAGTGTAATGCTTCCCATGTGGAAAGCCTCCCAGGGCTCCCCCAAGTATTACTGACAACGGAAAATGATACACAAGACACTGCACAAACGTCTGGGGTCTGCAAGGCTGCCCCAGCAGGGCGGAATCAGTGTCCACAGTGGGCATTCATTTCTGGCCCCTCTGAAGCAGACATCTTGGGATGGTGGAGGAAACCACCATGTCTACTTGTACAAATACGCTGGAATCTGATGATGCAGAAATTCACGTAAATCCACTTGCCTGTGGCCGCGGAGCCCTTCACGTGTAAGAAGTAAAGTACTGCATGCACCCTCCCCCAGGCCCTCTGACACAGGGAAAATGAGTCCCGGGTTCCTCCAAAGCCCCTTCCTCGCCGGGGCAAGTGGGTGATCCCGCTCTGCCTCTGTAGCTCTTCACTGCACTCTCTGTCACCTCTGAGAATTATGTGCGACAGGATTAAGCCACTTTGTCACCTCATCTTTCCTCAAACTCAGGATTTGTATTCATGTGAATGCCAGACCCTCCTTAGGATAAAACACTGCATAGGTTAGTTCTTTAGAACTTGTTAGTTTCTTAAAAAAAAAAAAAAAAAATCCAGCCATCCTCACCTCCTCAATCCAGCCAGTCCTTATGCTCTCTGGAGACCCGGCTTAAACAGGAGCACCTGGATCCCCCCACCCACTCTCCCACTCCCATCCTGAGCCAGGAGGTGCTTCCTCCGTTGGACCCCACAGCTCTCGGCACGTTCTGTGCCCTTCGTCCTTCCACACTGTGAGTGCCTTTGCTGAAGCTCAGGCTTGGTCATCTTTGTCTGGGCTGGCATATTTTACACAGATGCAACACAGTGCTTCTTCAGGCGACTGAATGAATGGCCAGTGTGCTAGTATAGGCAGGAATGTCCGCAACCCGAGGTGATCCTTCCATGTTGCAAAGCCCTGACCATGAAGGCCTCCATGGGCTCCCTTCGCTCCCCCACCTCCAGCCCCCCTTTCTCCCATCTGCCTTGCCCTCTTCAGAACTGGGGAGGCTCATGCCTGCACATCGCACTTTGTCTTGGGTGTCTGCCCACGGTGTCTCTGATTTGGGTCTGTGCAAGGGGCCTTCATGGGTCCTTCCCATCCCAGCATCTCCCTGGGTTCCTCACTATCTCACAAAGCAAGCAAACCAGGAAGGCTAACGTTTAGTGTTGCTGAGTTCCCTTCAAAGCAGAGGTGCGTGGCAAAGGTCTCTGGACACATGGGCTGGAGGAGCCAGTGTAGGGAGCAGTCTGCAAACCCAGGCCTTCTGCCAGGCAACCTCCTGGGCTTCATCTTCTCTGGCTTTTCTGCTGCAGTCCTCTTGAGTAGCCGCAGCATTGGCTGGAAGACAGTCTTGTGCGCTTTCTGGCAGCATGCATACACACGTATGCTTCTGAAACGTTGCCCCATCAAGTCATAAGTCAACATTTGTGATGTCACCACGCCAATCAGGCACCAGGAAAGGATGTCTTTTGTCACAATGTGGGTGGAGAAGATGAGAATTTGAGTCTCCTCTTGGCTTCTGGAAGAGGCTATCTGGGGACCAGGGGGTCCTGCTTCTTTGCAGGTGGCCAGCTGAGGGCTCTGAGCCTGTTCCTTCTGCACACACCATGGTGCGGGGCTTGGGCTAGTCTTCAAAGTAGGGGGGTGAGGAGAAGAAGGTGCTTTTTCTCTTACTCCCGCTGTACATCAGGGACATGCTCTTCTTCTTGCGTTGGAGAGAGGTGCTGTCATCGTCCCCAGTCAGGGAGAGGTATGAGGCGATGCTTTCCCGAAGGCCATAGCTGAAGAGGGATCCGTCCACGCCCAGCGGGCTCTCTGCACCCTCGGGGCCCTCCTGCAATCTGGGGTGGGAAGAAGGGAGGTCAGGGGAATGCACGAAGAAAGAACAAAGCAAAGCACTTGGTTCACATTTCTCCAACGTGTTGCTCTAATTCTGAGTCTTACATAGGTGGACGGTGTGGTATTGGACAAATCCCTTTCTCTCTCGAAGTGTTTCCTTGGGTGGCTAAAACTTCTAACTCTCTCTCTCTATGTAAGTGTATTAATTTATATATAAATATATATGTACATAAATTTAAGCAGACTTTAAATTTCAGGGCAATCTTAGGTTTACAGAAAAAATTAGGCTTAAATACAGAGCGTTTCCATCTACCCCTTTCTGAGAAGGGTTTCAAATAGCATGTAATGAAACACAATGGATTTGTGTGTTACCAGCATAGGGCTGGCTAGGGGTTTGGTCTGTTGCACACAGATGGACTCGAGGTGAGTGGGAACCATCTTGACGGCACCCAACCACAGCAATGTTCTCTAGGATTCTAACAATTAGATAAAGCAAGGTGATAGCATGCAGCTAGAAAACTCGCTGTTAATCTAGCCCAGTGGCTCATGGATCCAATGGCCCGAGGGCATTGGAACTGCCTGGCCATGAGGCCAAGTGCGCTTTCCAAGTCTGGGGGATTTGGTAAGTCTGCACCTGCTTGGGTGCCCACCCGGTGTTCTAGCAGGCCCCGACGCTGGCTTTGTGCTCTCAAGTTCACGGAAGACACACAACACACACTGTGCACACACACACCTCACATATACACACCATGCACACACACACATACCACACACACCGTGTAGACACAGCATGCACACACACACACACGTGCACCCTACCTGGACACCTTTTTCCAGTCCAAGGTCTTCTGGCGCAGGGTAACGGGCGAGCTGGGGGCCTGCACGGTGGGGGCGGCCATGCTCTGCGTCAGACAGGGTGTGGTGAGCACACAGCAGAGCCCATCAGCCACTTCTGGGGAGGGACGGACACCTGGTTAATGGCGTAGGGGACAGTGCAGTGGTATGGGGCGCCAGGCCATCAGTACAGCTCCCTGGTGGTTCACACAGGGAAACTGAGGCCAGGATCTGGAAGGGGGCGTGGGAGGCATGACCAGGCTGAGTCCTGCATTGATCATTCAGGAAATGTTTCTATACCCTGAACATACCCTGCACTCAGAGAGGCACAGTGAGAAAACAGGGTAGGTTCTGGAACCACCTCTGATGGGAAACACCTGTAGCTTCTGTGACAGGAAGCTCTTCCTACACAATGCGAGGGTGAGCCACCAAGCGAGAAGCAACCCCTGGCAGAGGCTGGGTGGCTTGTGCTCCTGCAGGGCATGGACTTTGTGCACTATGATGAGTCCAGTATAGAGTCTGTCCTCAAAGAGAAGAGCAGCAAGGAAGGAAAGAGAGAGGAGGAAGAAAGGAGAGAAGAAGGACAAGGAGGAAGAAGGAAGGAAAGGCGGTGGGAAGGAGGAAAGACGGCGGGAGGGGAGGGGAGAAGGCAGCTGGAAAGAAGAGAGGGAGCCAGGAGGGGAAGGGAAGAAAGCACAAAAGGATGGAAGATGTGGGCAGGAAGCATGGAGGAAAAGGAAGGCGGAGGCAAGAGAGAGAAGATGGGCAGAGAAAGGAGGAAGCTGAGTCGCCCCTCTTCCCCCCACATATGCACACCCAAAGGACATGCAGATGAGAGACCCATCTGCCTTCCCCCAGCCCCTGTGAAACCCCGGCCCGCCCCTTCCCAGAAACTTGCTCCGCTCTCTGGCTGTGCTCAGGTGTCCTTAGGGACTGAGAGAACACTCCACAGCCTTTTTCGGGTGGAAGATCCTGGTGCTTCTCGTGGCACAAGGAGGCGAAAGGTCCAAGGATGTGCAATGTGGCTGGCCCCTAGCATGGCTGGGCCACCTCTGGGCCTGGAGCAAGTCCCTCTGGGTTAAGCAGGCACCTTGCACTCTGATAGTCTACGCCCTCCACCTTCTTGATGGAGCCCTCGGGCATCCTTGCCAAAGAACCAAAGGAAAATGTGGCTGCAGCAAGCCTGGGCTCTCAGAGGGTGGCCTTTGGTAACCCCTTGTCTCATGGTCTTTAGTCTGTCGCTGTGAACTCGAGTGTTCACCTACCCGGCCGTGCACAGAGAAATGAGATATCAGACTGCAAGTTTCAAGGAAAGCCTAATTGGATGTGAATCTAAAATAATTTCCTGTCACGGGTTGGAAATTGAAAGGGACATGAGGTTGGGATGTGAGGGAGATAAAGCCAGATACAGGTTCTGGAGAAATGAGCTGCTGTCTCCAGCCCTCAGGGCATCCTCATGACAGCCTTGCCACCTCAAGATTCATAGTTGGGTGACAAGAGAAATGTTCAAACAACCCACACTCGTAAGTGTGTTAAGGCATGCAAGCATCCAGCCAACCTCTCACATTCTGAGTTTCCTCCTCAGTTTTGTGTGGTCAGGCCCCTCTTTGGAATGAAGAAATGGAAGATCCTGGGGTAAGTCACGCACTCAGGGCCATGCAAATAGGCTCCAGCTCCATCTCATTGACCCGGAACCCAGTAACCAACCACTTACTGTCCAGGCAACCCCATCTCATGGTGACCCCATGTGCCGGATACAGCTGTGCTCCACAGGGTTTCCAGTGGCTGATTTTTCAGAAATAGATCACCAGGCCTTTCTTCCAAGGTCCCTCTCAGTGGACTCGAACCTCCAACCTTTCGGTTAGCAGCAGAGTGTGTTAAACCATGGCTTTGCACCACCCAGAGACTCCACCCTGCCATGATCGTCTGTTAAAGCATGCTAATGTGCAAGTTGCAGGAGCCCACACATCCCCCTTAAGCTGCGCTCTGGCGCCCCCTAGCTGTGTGACCTGAGACAAGTTCCTATAGCAGCGCTTTGGCTACATTGGTTTCTCTTTAGGGGCCTGAAGGGCACAGGAAAAATGTCAGGCTTTCAAACCTCTTTCAGTTATTTGCAGAGGTCAACTGGTAGCTGTCATCCATTTATTGATGCAGTAGCCAAGGATATATTTTTAGAAGGCAGGCATTCATTCATTCTGCACTGAAGGGAGATCTTCCCAGTGGGCAAGCAGCTGCCAGCTGGATTTTGGGGCCCCTGGTCTGGCAACTTTGAAGTCTCTCTGTTTGTACAAGTTTTGCTGGGCTGCCTCCACTTCGTGTTTGCTTTTTGTATGCAAAATTTATGGTATCCACACCCCTCCGATGGTTGTCATTCAAAGGCCAATACACGACCAACTTTGACTCATCATCACTAAAGGTTGCCTGTTTCCAGGACTCCCTTCCTCTTTCATTTTTAGCTACCTGCTAGGTTTTCGGCTGTCATAGAGGTCATATTAGTTATGATTTATTTGGTGTTTACCATGTGCCAGGTTGTACTGGACACATTACGTAAATGATCGTGTTTGATAATCACTGCCACCACCCACAATGGGGTTGTTCTCACGCACCTCCTATCCATGACGCACTGAGACCCAGAAGTCAAGGACCTTGCCTGAGGCCTCACAAATGTGTAGGGGGCAAAGCCCAGGTGGGAGCTTGGGACTGTGTCTCCAAACCAGCCATTTTCCCCTCGTAAACAGGCTTCTCATAGGCCAAGGAAGACAACCAAAGGCCGAGTGGACTCTTTTTTGCTCCTTGAAGTGTAATTGGCTTCTTCAGCTTGGGACCCACATCCTAAAGTCACTGGTAAAGATGCCTGGGTTGTGAGGCCGGATGTGCTGACCCAGACACAGGCACCGACAAAGCCACAGGAACTCCTCTTTCTTCCTCCAGTGCAGCACAGGAAGGAGGTGAGGCCTTCTGCTGGGTCCAAGGAGCCGCCATTCAGTGGTGGCTCACGGGAACGTGTTAGGCTTGCTCCTAGGCTCAGGCCGTACGCTAACTCAGCAGCCAGTGAAGTAGCAACGGTTAGTGTCTGCAACATAAAGATGAAGAAACCAAGCCACAGGAAGGATGGAACTAGCCCAAGGTTGCCCAGCCAACAAGAAGCCGATCTGGGACATGAACATACAGGCCCAGAACTTCACTCTCAGCCACTGCACTATTTGCAAGTTTAGCCAGTTTGCCATATGGAAAAGTCCAAACTGCAGTCTTGACAGCCAGGGCCTGTCACAGTCTAATTCAACGTTTTCTTTCTTGAGTCTGCTTATACCATCACCTCCATCAAAACCACCCTAGGTTCCCACCATCTTGGAAGATTCCCCTGCCCTGGTTCAGCCGGGGCCCAGGGAGGACACATGAGTGAATAAAATGCAACCTCTGGTCTCTGAGAGCTTGCTGGGAAACCCAGACCAGGACACAGTCCACTGGTACGCAAAGTGACATGGCCAGAGTGCTCAGAAGAGATACATGTGGTGCTGATAATTCAGACAACCGGGTCTAAGTCAGGACAGACTTCATCAAAGAGGTGTGCTGATCTTGGCCCTGAGGAATGAGGAGGAATTTGACACGCAGAAAGGGGAAATGTGTGGCCTTTCAGGGCAAAGCCCCAGAGACGCAAAGAGCATGACCCACTTGAGAGAGCGCAGGCTGTCTGCGGTTATGAACACAGGGGCTCCTCCGTTGTCTCACTTACAGGTGGAGAGGGGTCTGAGATTAGACGTGCTTGCTGTGGTGGCATTCCCAGGCAGTGGACCTGAGCGTTACAGCCTAACTTATGAGGATGAGCACATAATGAAGGCTAGAGCCCCCTGCTGGTCTGCACCCCCACCGACGGAGAGCACCCAAGGCAGTGCGCCAAGTGGGTGATGCTGGTGCAGGCTGCTCACCCGAGTAGTGGTTGACCAGGTCCTCCAGGCACTGGAAGGTGAGCCTCGGGGAGATGTAATACCAGTTGTTGGGCAGCCGGAAGATCCGATAATGCTTCACCTGGCGGTGCCTCACCGACAATGAGTAGAAACCTGAGAGAAAGACAGGACACATCAGCAATGTGCACACGCCTGAGCCAAGGACACCCAGCCAGCTGGACGCAGAGATGGGGGGAAGGCCTGCCCAGCACTGTGATACAACATTGAAACCCAGAAGGGCACCCTTGTGCTTTAAACAACAGCCCTGCAGCCGCTCACTGGTCAGAGAGCAGCACAGAGCCAGGTGCTGTGGAGGTGGTGCCAGCCCACGGTGACTGAGGGTCAGAGCAGAACTGTGCTCCACGCGGTTTTCACCGGCTGCTTTTCTGGAAGGAGACCACCAGGGCTTTCTTTCATGACACCTCTGAGTGGACTTGACCTTCCAACCTTTTGACTGGCAGATGAAGGTGCTAACTATTTGCATCAGCCAGGGATTCCTTGAAAGACCAGCAAACACAACCAAGGCCATTGCTGTCAAGTTGGTTCCTACTCCTAACGATTCTATGGGACAGAGGGGAACTGCCTCAGAGGGTCTCCACGGCTGTCATCTTCATGGAACAAAAAGCCCACACCAAACCCACTGCCGTGGAGTCGATTCTGACCCACAGCGCCCCTAGAGGACAGAGGGGAACTGCACCAGAGGGTTTCCAAGGCTGTCATCTTCATAGAAGAAAAGCCCACACCAAACCCACTGCCATGGAGTCAATTCTGACCCACAGCGCCCCTAGAGGACAGAGTGGAACTACCCCCATAGGGTTCCCAAAGCTGTTATCTTCACAGAAGCAAACTACTACATCTTTCTTCCAATAAAGTGACTGGTGGGTTCAAACCACTGACCTTTTTGTTTAGCAGATGAGCGCTTAACCACTGTGTCACCAGGTCTTCTTTAGAGACACGGGATCATGTTATTTTAAGCATTAATGATAACATGATAACAGGTTTTTCAGGACATGGTTGTCTCTGCCTTTTCAGGTAAATACTGGGGTGTTTTCCCATCCTTGTGGCTTCTCACACCACATGAAATAAGTGTAGTGTGTTGCAGCCTGTGGGGCTGACGTCTGACCTGCGCCGAACTCCTTCCCGAGGGTGCTGCCCTTCTCCTTCCTCAGCCCTGCCCCAGCACGGCCATATCCACACATTTGGGGGCACTTAAAGTTATGTCCCTTTTCTTGGTCCCTGCTCCCTCTGATTTATGCTCAGTTTTCTCGGAAATTTGGAACAAATGGCAGCTAAGACATTTTTTGGGGTATCCCTAAGACACATGTGGCATGTGTGTCATTTCTCTAAAATGTGTGTCATAGCGCTTGGCGTGACTGTCCCATGTGGGTTTGTCAGAGTAAAACCAGCGTTTTGAATGAGTGAGGGCAAGTATCTTCTCTCTTCACCTTAATTTCCCCAAACAGAAAATGAGAGGACTGACTTGGGTCCTGCCTAGCCCTGACAGTCCCCACCCCTGCCCTTCTTGGTTCCATGAGTGAGAAACACTCGAGACGAGATGGTGGTGCAGGGAGAACCAGCGATTAGTGGACTCTGCTGGGCAGGGGGCTAAGCAATTTCCAAGCAGAGTCTCTGATCATCCTTGGAAAGGCCTTGAGATACTGTCCTCAAATATTTTATAGGTGGGGAACCTGAGACTCAGAGCCATGAGTGACATGGTTTGAGAATGCAGACCTGGGGTGTGGGCTCTGTCCTGAGAGGCCTCTGGGGGCAGCCTGGTGGGCTTCTCAGTTTTGCCCCAGACCTGCCTTCTGAGTCTGCCTGACATGTGTCTTCTGGTAATGTCAACAGGACTGAACCAACAGTGAGCAGGCCCCAGTGGGCGGCAGTGGGAATCATCCGAACTTTGCATACCAGGCAAGCGGAGCCTGATGCCCCACCCAGCTAGGCCCTGCTGCACATCTCCCTGAGGACATGTTTATTTTTGGAGGTACTAGGTTCTACCCTCCTCGCCAGCTGGGCCAGCTTAGGAGGCTGCGTCTGGGGCTCCGCTCCGGGACCCCCAGGGACACGCACAAGTGGTTTTGCTTTTGTTTTCATCTTGCCCTCCCTCAGAACATTCAGGTTTTTGAGAGAAACTCTCCTCTGGGTTTTGTGATCTCATGTCTGTGCCATCCCTGATTCCCCACTGTAAACCTGATGCCCATCAGGGCACAGGGCTCCAGGCCCGGCACTTCACAGGTGCCTGGGAAATAAGTGTTTTGTCTTCTGTGATAGCAAGTGTGCCCTAGGCAAGCTGAGAGGGGAACAATGTATTCCATAGTTTAAAAGGGGCTGTGATTAGTCATTAGTCAGGGGAAGTCTAGGCTGTTAACTGTTTTACTCCTGTAAGTTTTGTTAAGTACTTAGTACATGTGCTTGGCTACTAGACAAGCTGCTCCATAGGACACAGCCCTGGCAATCTATTTCCATAGAGATTACGGCCTAGAGAACTCCACAGGTGGTTCCACTCTGTCCCATGGGGTCACTATGGGTTGGAATCGACACCCAAGAACAACAGCTATATCCCAAGGTCTGTGGGGCAGCTTAGTGGTGCTCAATTGCTAAGTGAAAGGTTGGTGGTTTGAAGCCTCCTTGAGGCACCACAGAAGAGGTGGCTGTGATCTGCTTCCGTGGAGATGACAGCCAAGGGTATACCCTGCGGGGCCCAGCTCTGCTCGGTAACAGTTGGGTCTCCGTGAGCCAGAGTGGACTCAAGAGCGATTAGTTTCACTACGTCCTAGACTCTGAACTGAGCACTTTACAATGGCTCACCCCAGGTTACAAGTAAGGGGCCTGAAGCTTGGGGGGAGGAGGCGGCATCTTTATTAACAGTGCTGCCAAAACTAGAATTCAGAGCCTTGCTCCGAACCACTACAAAGGGCCTTACTATTTGTTTGCACTGAATCACTTAACGGGCAGGATGTGAGGAAAATATGATAAAGATCATGGTACATATGTAAGAACATGCATTTGCTTGTCTTGATGCCCTGAGCTAATTTAGGGTACAGAAGGCACTGACTTTGAGGGCCCCTGTGGAGCAGCAGCACTACAAAGATGAGTCATTGGATTCTCACCACAATCTCACAGGAGAGGAACTTTACCTCCACCTCAAGATGAGAAAACTGAGCCCAGAGGTGAATAACCCACCTAATCCTGGAGCAGGAGTGGGCAGGCAGGCCTGCTCCGAGTCCTCAGCCCCTCGGCCCAGCATGCTGCCCACTCCTGGTTCTCAGGTCTCAGTCGATGGAGAGATCTCCAGCAGGAGTTGGCTAGGCCTGGTGTTGGCCAGGCATGTGATGGTCCCCAGCCCCATCCTGACTATCTCTTTCAGTCCCTTTGCTTTTACGCTGGCCTCACTGGCCATGCTTCAGACTGATCTGCCCAAGTCGTAGGAGGAGGGACAGAGAAGCCAGATAATGAGTCAGTCAGGACAAAGGGCTTTGTATCGGACCAGCCGGGGAAAGGTGAGTCGGGGCTGCTCACCTTTCTTCGTCTCGCTCTCTCTGATCATGAAGGAGCCCATCTTCGTGTCTGGCAGCTGCAGCAGTTCCTCAGCCTTGTCTCTGCCCAGTCCTTCAAACAGCCAGCTGGGCAGAGGGAGACAGCAGTGAGTACCCCGAGCATGCCCCTGTCCCCCAAACAAGGCCGGAATGCAAAAAACCTACATCTGTAGGTCCAGTTAGGATACAGGAATTAGCAGAGAAGGCAGTCAACTAACTTCTCATCCACCCATTCTTTCAAATGTCATTTCCTGAGTACCTGTTGCATGCCAGGTATTATACTGGCTAATGGGAACACAAAACTCAAAACTGAGCTCACTGCCGATGAGCCGATTCTGACTCATAGCAACCCCTGTTGGGTTTTTGAGCAGTAAATCTTTATGGAAATAGATTGCCTCATCTTCCTTCCACAGGTCACCAGGCATTTCTAGCACATCACTTCTGAGTGGATTGGAACCGCTAACCTTTTGGTTCATAGCCAAGCACTTCACTGTTTGCACCCAGGACTCCACATCGGGTCTCCATACGTTAGAATCAACTCAGTAGCAACTGTTTCTTTTTTGTTTTTTTAAATGGTGACCACGATGAATTCTTTATGGCTTGTGGCCCCCATAAGACTCACAATGACACAAGTCGACAACTGAAGTGTCCTGTGTAGGATGACCAGGACATAACATCAGATGCTGGTCATGCAAGTTCTGATCTCTAGGACCGATTTGGTCATGCAGATGATTAAGCTGTGCTGGGTCAATTATTTTAGCTATTTCCTTAGTTGAGCCCCACATGGCACAGTCATTATTTTATTGTTTGTGCAAACATTCATTCATTCAAGGCTTTACATGAGTATAGAAACAAGGATAATGAAACAGCAATAATAACAAGAGTGGCTGGGTTGGGTGCTAATTATGGGCCACATCCCATAATGAGCACTTGAAACCTAATCCTTTTATTGACTTTCTGCGACAGGAAGCTTTATCTCTCTTTCACAGATGAGGATACTAAGGATCAGAGTGACTAAGTAATTTGTCCAGGTCACCATATCACCAAGTGACAGAGCTGGAATTGGGATGCATTTTTCTGGGCCATCAAGCCCATGTTAATAACATCCCTCTCCACCTGTTCTATTGAAGGACTTTTCTTACACCTATGTGATTGGAAGCTTCCTGGGGTTGAGATTATATCTGACTCCCCCAAGTCACTCACCACCCCTAGCTCCTGCCAGATTTCAGCCCCCATCTGACACATGAAGGCTTGGATGCATGTTGGCTAAGTGAATGAATGGACCGTGACAACGTGACACCCGGCTGATTGAGAAGAGCTGTGTGTGTTTGGTGCTTTTCAGCCATAACTCATGCAGCAGCTGTTGTGGTGGTTGTTGTTAAGTGTCATCGAGTCAGTGCCAACTCATAACGACTCTGTGCACACATAGCAGCCACTGTCCACTTACTGTCCCCTTCATCATCCTAAGCATGAAAATAGTTGTGGTGTGGATAGTCACAGTCATGGATTCTGCGGTTAAATGCACCGAGTGCCGTGCTGCAAAATGTCCATGCAGTGATCTTTGCTGGGTGAGCACGTGGCGTGCAATGTCCGCTCTGAACGTAAGGAAGTTATTCCTGGACACTTTCAAAAAGAAACAGTGCCTCCTTCCTTCCCGTTCCCCACGTGCTGTGTGCGTCCCTGCTGAGGGCCCCCTTGGAGTGCTTGGCAGCTGAGGAGACTGTAGCTCAAGGAAGCTAAGCCACTTTTCCCAGGCCCTTCCATGCAAGAGGCGGGCCCGGGATTTGAACCCAAGACTCCTGGGCTCCAAAGCCCCCCATGTTACCGTAGGGGCCTCACCTGCGTAACTGTAGGAACAAAAATGTGCCTGTTTCCTCATCTGCTCGACTCACCCGCTGGTCCAGTTGGGTATGGAAGTGTTTTCCATGTGCTTCTGAATATGTAATTGACAAGGACGTAGCTGATGTTTGTCGAGTGCTTACTATAATGCTAGCCATGTATTCTCACTCTCTCACTGCTGTCGAGTAGGACCCGACTCATAGCGACCCCTCCTTGGGTTTCAGAGGTGGTATCACTACAGAAGTAAATTGCCCAACCTTTCTTCTGAGGAGTGGCTGGTGGGTTTGAACCGCCAGCCTTCTGGTTAGCAGTCAAATGCCTTAGGCACTGTGCCACCAGAGCTCCCAGGCATGTACTATCCCATCTAATCCTTCAAATAACCCCGTACTTCACTCCTCTCATTATCCACGGAAAGCTGTGAGAGCCGGGAATCAACAGGACTGCCTGGCTTTTCACCTTTGACAGAGTGCAGTCTCACCACTTTTCAGTCACTCTCTATCAGTGCAAATTATTTCAGTTTTCCTTCTCTGATGGGTTTCTGCCTTACACAGCCTCCAGCTTCCACAGGTTTCACTGTATGTTATGACTTCTTGGGTGGGTCTGCTCTCTCCTGGAGGGTTGCTGTGGGTCGGAGTTTGTTTGGCATCATTGTGTACACGATCCTTCTTTGACAGATGAGGACAGGAAACTAATGCCTAGAAAGATGGGCAGTTTGCCCACTCGCAGGGCCCACTGTAGGTGACTGAGGCCAGGTCTGCACTCAGGCAGACCGACTTTTAACCACTATACCACACTGCGTCCTATAATTACAGTTCCTGAGTCATTACTGCTGTGTGCCTGGAACGTCACGCTAGAGCTGAAAGGTCCAACTGCCTCCATGTTACTGATGGGGACATTGCATCCCAGAGGAGAAGGATTAGCTCAAGGTCACCCATCTCCTTCCTGACAGAGCTGAGTGCGGGGACAGCCCCCTCTCCACCCAGCTATACTACGTTGTAATCTCTCTTTGCCACCCTCAAAAGGGCTATAAATATCACTGGTCTAAATATCATCTTTTATTGATGCGGTTTGAGAAATGTACTCACCCGTGGTAAACTCTGGCCACACACATTCCTGGAATATAGCTCTCTCGACCGGTGCTGAGAGAAATGGCCTTCCACCAGCCGCCTTCACTGCAGGCACAGAGCAGACCGGGCGGAGGGATGGTCAATGGCAAAGCAGAGGGAGGAATGATCAGACGTGCTGAGCGGGGTCAGCTCAGACAGGAATGACTAATCACAGCCGTCAGACTTCCAGGTGGGGCCGTTCCTTTTTAGGATCTATCATTGGCCATGCTGACATGAATTTCTCCATATGGAAGTTTTGTTTTAAAGTAGATTTATTCAATAGATACTCCGCATTCCAAGCTAGTTGAAAAGTCTGCCCACATCCTGGCAATAGCTGCGTTTCAGGGATCAGCAGGTAATATTCCCAACTGATGTTTTAGGATTGTCTGTGACTTTTCAGGTAAATATTGGGGTGTTGATCTCCAACCCTCACTTTACCAAGGATAGTCTCATGTGTCCACCCCAGAGGGCATCTAGATAAAAGGCACTTCAAACCAAAACCAAACCCACTGCCGTCGAGTCGATTCGGACTCACAGCACCAGGGTAGAACTGCCCCATAGGGTTTCCAAGGCTGTGCTTCTTACCGAAGCAGACTGCCTCATCTTTCTGCTGCTGAGTGACTGGTGGGTTCAAACTGCCGACCTTTTCGTTAGCAGCCAAATGCTTTAAATACTGTGCCACCAGTACTCCTTACAGGGGACTTAGTACCTTTACTTTGCTCTATACTGTATTTTGAATCAGACTGAAGAGATAGCAGGATAGAAAGTGACACTTTTTGTTTATCATTGGAAGTGTTCACAGACCCCCGAGTCCTCCTTCCTGTTACAGACATATAATATCAAGAGTGTATGTGGGGTGGGAGGTAAGGCCAATATGCCAACATGATAGACAAGTAGAAGCTGGGGCATAAAGAGCATCAAAGATGTAGGAGATCCTGCATAAAGAGGGAGAACAATGTGGAACAAAACTCAAAATCATTTGGAGGCAAAAAAAAAAAAAAAAAAAAGGTGGGGACCAGGTTTGCTGGTCCAGTGGAGCCTGGTGGAACCACTGAGACTATGGCCCCTAGCTGCCCTTCAGGTCTGGAATTGAACCCACAACTGTGGTTTCCATCCAAAGTACAGGCATGTGAGTTAAACATTTACCTCAAGTAGACACATGCCCTGGAGAGAATAATCATGGGAGAACGAAGGGCTGCCTATGCATAGGGAGACAGCTCAGGGCACAGAAGAGTATGAAGGGATGGACACTGGGAGGAGGTAACTATGGGGAGGAAGTGGGAGGGGAGCTGCTGCATTGTAAATTTTGGTCAATGACATGAGACAAAGTATATGTGAACTGCTGTATGAAAAGTGAATTTACTCTGTAAATCTTCACCCAAATCCTAAAAAAAAAAAAAAAAAAAAGAGTACCAAAGGCCAGGCCAAGGAATTTCTATTTTCTCTGTCAGGCGATGGGGAGCCATTGAAGGTTTTAGAGCACTGGCAGCGTTAAAGAGGAGAGGAACAGTGTGAGCTAAGTGTCTCACCTCACAATCGGAGTAGGGCTCATGTGCATTGGACAGCTGTAACTAAGAGCTAACTATCCCATCCAACGTGAGGGCACCCACTTTTGAGGACCCAAAGAGTTTGGCAAAGCTGACTCACTCTGAGATCACGCGCAGTTTCTCCCCTCGGCGGAATATGGGTGGGCTGATGTCAGGAGCTGGGTAATCACTTAGGACCGCGAGGAAGTCGTTGTCCAGTCCTAGGGCAGCAAGGGCAGAGGGTAGACTGTAATTCACAGGGAAGGAAGGTGGTCTGGGAGGGGTGGGTGCAAAGATGAGTAGGGTATCTGGGGGACCCTGCACTGGGGTTCAGGCGACCTACTCCTAGTCTCAAGTGTGACTCGGCCCCAGTGTTCTCATCTGAGACATGGGGATCCAGAGACCCTAGAGCAGAGGTCACGAGATCCGGCTTCTGGGTGTGGCCCCTGCGTCTCATGATCCAGGCAACCTCAGGCAATGTCTCCTAGCCTCAATTACCCATCTTTAACCTGGGGCTAATCATGCCAGCCTTCTGCTGAAGGAGATGAAGTGTGTGGCACCACCTCATGGGTGACACAGTGCTGTGAAGACCCCTCCCTGCCTACAGCACCTCAGGGAAGTTGCTAGGTCCCCTCTCTGGGCCTCCTGAGCCCCACTACTGTAACACAGGGCATGGGCTATGGTAAATGAGCTCTGAGGACTCCCAGGACTGAGAGGCACCAAATCTCAGTGCCTCCTTGTAGATAAGGCGCATGTCTGGGCCTTTCTTTAATCGAAACTCTTGAAGCTGCAGGGGAAAATGAAATGTTTTCATTGTACCCGTGCTGACAGCAACCATAATGACATTCTGCAGAAGAAAGCATGCTGACTAGCAGGGAATGTGCTGTTAGCCACTATGCGAAATCCTTGTTTCATGTCCTTAGTGATTCTCCGTAATTCAGGGAAACGCTGGGGTACGTGTTTGGGGGAATGTTGTTGTTGTTAGGTGCCATTGAATCGGCTTCGGCTCATAGCTACCAGTGTGCAACAGAATAAAGCACGGCCCTGTCCTGCCCCAGCCTCACAGTCATCGCTGTGCGTGAGCCCATTGTTGCAGGCTGTGTATCAGCCCATCTCGTCGAGGGGCTTCCCCTTTTTGCTGACCATCTACTTTACCAAGCATGATATCCTTCTCCAGGGAATGGCCCTTCTGACATCATGACCAAAGCAGGGGAGGGGCAAATGATACATCTTACAAATCAGCAGACCCAGCACTGGTTGGCCACCGTGCTTATCAATCCATCTGCTGGCTGGGCGTCCAAACTCAAAATTCTGGATAATGGATTGTTGGTGGAGCCATTTGGCCATTGTTTACTGAGTACCTGGCAAGGCCAAGCATTGATGAGCAAACAGGCCAAGTCTCTGCTTGAATGGAATTTGCGTTCTAGAGAAGACATAAGTAATCATGGAAGGGGCAGTCTCTGCCCCCCTTGCCCCAGGACAAGCTGGAGAAATGCCAGCACGTGGGCATGGGGGTCTTGGGGCCCAAAGAGGCCACTTTCTAGGAACCTCCAGACCAACCCTGGCACTGATTCACGTGGCCCCAGGACAGATGAAATGACCAGAGAGATTAAATATCAGGATGTATAAGAAATACAGATGAGAGTTTTGGTAAAGGATTTGGTTACTGATAAATGAATCAGGACCATGTTATCACAGTGGCAAGCAGAGTCACCAATGACAGTAAACCCTGTGACGGAGAGTTGGAGAGGTGGGGTCAGTGCTCCTGAGAAAGGACCGGAGGGAGGGGAAGTGCATCCCCCAGCCCTGCCTTGCGCCTGGCGCCAGCCTCCCCCACCCAGTTTTGGTGAATTAAGAAGTTTCCTGCCCTTGTGCAGCCCAGCCCAGCCCAGTGATTGGAGGTAGCCCTGAGCTGCTTGTAGGGCTCTCAGTCAGAAGGCCTGGGTCTAAGACAGGGCGGACCCAGGTTCTGTGGGGCATGAAGCTGATGCAAATTTGGAGGTCCTCTTTCAGGAGGACAAAAAGGAAAAAGAAAGAAATCAAAACACAGAATTAGATACAGGTTCTGGGAAAGGGCCACAGTGGTGAGGACCCTAATACATGTGTTTCCTTCAGCTTTCTGGTCAACCCACCCCAGGCTCATGGACTGACTCTGTGGCTCATTCTTGGTGGCTTGGTTTTCCCTTGCTATTCAAGAAGGGGGTTGGCCTGAAAGACCTGGAAGGTGCCTTCATGATGTGAATGTATTCTTCCTCACCTAGTGACCCCCAAAATAAAAGGGTTATCGACATGGCACCCCTGCTGTAGGTTCAGGGTGACAGGCCTTTCTGTCTCTCCTTCAGCATGCCAGGCTCCTGTCCGCAGAGCCTCTGAACAGGCTGTTCTCTCTCATGCCCACCCTCCTCATCCTCCCACCTTTTCCCAGTGCAGAGGTTGCTGGTGCTCCAGGCAGCCTCAGCCTTCCTGTGATTCCGTCAGCAACAACCCCCCCCCCCCCACCGCAGGGTGTCATTTCATTCTGCGTGACTGCAAGGTGAACAGCTCCCCGCCTGGGCAGGCACCACCTGTGTGGTCCCTGTCCTGGAGCCCTGCGCTGCCCCAGTGAGGATGTTCCTCTCAGAGCAGGTTTATCCTACAGGAGGTCCCTGTGCTGGGGACATGGCTGCCAGGCTGCGTTTATACAGCCATTCAGGCCAACAGGAAACCTGATGTGGGGAGGCAGCAGGGAGGGTGGCCATCACAGAGCTAGCCATTGTGAAAAGCAAGTGTTACAATAAGAGGCCCAGAAGTTGTTATCCATGACAGGAATAAACCAAAAACCTGACCCACTGCTGTCGGGCCAGTTCCCACACACGGTGCTCATACAGGACAGGTGGGAGTGCCTCATGCACTCTCCAAGGTTGTGATCTTTATGAAAGCCAACTGCCACATCCTTCTCCCAAGGAGAAGAGCTGGTGGATTTGAACTGCTGACCTATGGGTGAGCAGTCAAGCGCTTTAACCACTGCGACACTAGGGCACAACACGGGAACCTTGAAAGAGAGTGTTCATCTACAGGAGGGCTGGAGCTTAGTGTCTGTTTCCAGATTTAGACTGTGAAGGAGAATGGCATCTTTTGTAACCTTCAAAACAAAACTAAAACAGAAACAAAACCCCCAAAATCCCATTAAAAAGACAATTGGTTTGATGTGGAAAAGGAGGCGGGCTGACGGGGCTAGGAAGTTTCAAGTTTATAATAGCAGTTTCCTGTGGAATTTCCATAATGATGACACTTTCGTGGCTGTACAACTAAAACACCTGCATTTGGGTGTTTACTTAAAGGGAATGGGCTTTGCCTTATTATTTGCGAGGGACTACCTGCATATTCAAGGCTCTTTGGTGTTGCAGTGGTTAAAGCACTTGGCACTAACCTAAAGGTCAGCAGCTGGAACCCACCAGCTGCTCTGTAGGAGAAAGACGAGGTTCCCTCAAGATTGACAGCCTGGGAGGCCCCATGGGGCAGTTCCACTCTGCCCTCTAGGGGTGCTATGAGTCAGAACGGACTGCACGGCAGTGGATGTGGTTTGGGCTTTGCTTCTGTAAAGACGGACAGCCTTGGAGACCCCATGAGGCAGTTCCATTCTGCCCTCTAGGGGCGCTGTGGGTCGGAACAGACTCAATGGCAGCGGGCTGTGTTCTGCATATTCTGATCACCTTCATCACCAGCATTAGAAAATTAAAGGACAGAGTCACTCAAATGCATTAAATTTTGATTTGTGCTTGTTACAGAGAGGTTGTTCGGTGCGCTCTGCCTCACAGCGACTCCATCCACAGCAGCACAAAACGCTGCCCGGTCTTCTGCCACCCTCACAAGCCTTGCCGTGTCTGAGCCCATTGTGGCCGCCACCATGTTAATCCGCCTCATTGAGGGTCTCCCTCTTTTTCACTGACCCTCCCCTTTAGCAGAATGTGAAGAGGGCAGCAATTCTGAGCAAGGTTTCGTGCCTGGATCCAACTCCGTTCTCCCTGAGCCTTGGTCCCTCCGGTGAAGTAGATGCAAGGTGGGGCATTTAAATCTGCTCATTTCATTCAAACATATCCTGCCCACATGCACCACTTGGATTTATGGAAAGCAGAGCATCTGGAGGAAATCAGACACATGAGTTAGTTGCCTGGGAAGTGGACCAGCTTAATACAGATGCAAGATAAAGAAACAAAGTGGAGAAATCCAGGCGGGCATGGAGGAGACTGCCAGAGTGCATGGGCTCTAGACTCAGTCAGACCCAGCTTAGATTCTGCCGCCACCACGCAATGCAGTGATCTGGGGAGAGCTTTGTTTTTAACTTATCTGAGCTTGACCATTTCTTCATAAATAGGAGTATCAAATTCTGTCTCATGTGTTTGGATTAGGATTCGTGATACTTCCTGTGTATCGGGCCTGCCTCAACAAATGGCAGCTGATATCCTTTTTATATGGGCAGGGTTATCACCCCAAAACCCATGACCAGTTTCGGGAAGTAGTGCTCTAGGTCTTGGAAGCCCTCTGGTAGTGTGAACATGAAAATACTCTCATCATCAAAAACAAATTCCACTTGGTGAGACCAGAAGATAAATGCAAAAGAGCCCAGAGGTGCTGATAGTTCAACTGAAAAATGAGTCAGGCTGAACAAAATGTACAAAAATTCAAAGCAGGAAATGGGTCCAAAAAAGGAAGGAGACCCATGCAGAACTCACTAGTCACAAATACCACTGAGTCGAAAGAGGGCAGGCAGGCCCTCTTGTGCAGTATTGTCCCCTGCAGTGGTGTTACCATCTCTTTCTCAGAGCTGAAAACAGTAGCTCCTGTTTGTAACTGTCTGGCAACACCAGTCATCTGTTGCTTCCAAGATTCTACAGGATTCTTCAGGACACATATTCCCACTTAAATGGCCATGGAGTCAAGGCCAGAGGAGTTTTGGTAACATGTCCAGTGAGAACACAAGGATTAAAAGCCACGGTGGCTTCCCTAAGCCACATAGCTCTCTCCTTGGCTTTCCCGGTTCACTTGATCCTTAACAGCTTGGGACAAAGGCTGAATCCCAGTGACCTTGTGTTAACCTTAGGGTTGCCTCAAGCAGCTCAGTGCAGCTGCTGGACCAGGAACTGAACAGGCCAGTGCATTTGGCTTCTAGTTTTGCCTTCCCTTTGGTTATGCCCAGACTCACGGGTTCCCCAGGGGCCAGGACAGGCTTCATTTAAGGAAT